CGATCCCGGGTCTCCAGGATCGCGCCCTGGGCCAAAGGCAGGCGCCAAACCGCTGCGCCACCCAGGGATCCCCACCTTTATTATTATTTTCATAGTAACACACAGACAAGGGTGTTAACTGCACCAATTAGATTTTTAATGTACCCTGTCTCTGTCCTCAGATCTCCTCTTCAGTGGTATTTGCATAGTACTGGGCATTGATTGTTATTCAAGTAAAGTGTCATTATGATGATTTGTTTTTATAGGTGCCACTTAATGTAAAAGAATAAAAAAATAATAGGGTTCTAATAATGTTTTATAAAAGTTGAGATTTTTAAAGTTCTGATACACATGTATATACAAAAATCACAGATAGCAACTAATTTTGTCAAAGGATTCTTCAGCTTAAAAGATGATTCTACTACAAACTTATTTTTAAAAGCTTCTACTTTTCCAATATATCTGAGAAGCAGGGTTTAATTGACAAATATTCAGATACACATCTCTCCATGTATACATGTGGGTGTGTTTGTGAAAAAGAGAGACAGAGAGTAATAGGGACCCCTGGGTGGCTCAGTGGTTGGGCACCTGCCTTTGGCCCAGGTCGTGATCCCAGGGTTCCAGGATCGGACTCCCTGCAGGTAGCCTGCTTCTCCCTCTGTTTCTCCCTCTGCCTGTGTCTCTGCCTCTCTCTCTCTCTGTTTGTGTCTCTCATGAATAAATAAATAAATCCTTAAAAACAGGACAGAGAGTAATAATGAATAATGGAGCATAAAATGTTAATTATACATTGAATTTAACAAGATCTATCCTTGAGAATTACAAAATTTTTGTGTCCAATATAATTAGCTAGGGAAGAAGAGGACAACATTTCAGATTTTTAGGTAAGACTTAGTATTAAATCTACCCTAATTGCTTTGCCTGCTGGCAATAAATCCAAATCATGAAAACAACAGCTTTCAGAATTGGGAACAGAGAATGCTAGAAGCTGGTTGAATCAAAAAATAAGACATTGGTGACTTTTCTCTTAGAAACTTAGAAATAAATTAGTACAGTCCCTGGTCTCATTTCACAAATGAAACTTCCTTGAAGCCCAGACAGGAAAAGGCTCTTTCAAAGGCTGCACGTGAGGTAGAAGAGCACAGAGCATCCCAATTCTAGGCCAGCACTGAAGTGAATGGGGAAAGAGTCAGAGGACAGAGGAACATTTTACTTTCCTGTGTAATTTTACATATTCATATTCTTCCTATAATGATTCAACTGCCTTCTGCTCCCTGCGTGAGGGTAAACCCAGGGCTCATTTGCCAAAACTCTTACAGTGGAATACTATTACTACAGACACTTAGTAACATATTGAGAATCTATAGCATTAAGTTCACTTTAGAGACATTATCTAGTTAATACTGCAAGGTCTGTATTTATATTTTACACCTGAGCTGCCGAAATATTATATAACTTGCCCAGATGAGATGACCCATTCTCTGTCTGACTACAGAGTTCACACCTTTTCCTCCATACCACGCTGCCTTCCACATTTCACAGAAGATGCTCAGGAGGAGCCCTTTGTAGATTATGATGCCAGAAAGAGCTAGATTGCGGTTTAATGGCATGTTACTGTTTATGTGAGTCCTTTCTCCTAATACAATCTGAACAACCGGAAGACCATTACAAAATAAGAAAAATTCAGGTTGGCAGTCAAAGTAACCCATATTTGGAGGGAAATTAAAAAAAATATATCACTACCAAGTTTATTGGCCAAAGCCAATCACCAATCTTGTCTATCTGAATGGATGGAAAACAAAATACTTAAAAAATATTTTCCCTTTTTTTTGTAAGAGAAAAATCCTTCTATTTTCTAGTTGTTATTTGATATATTTCTGATTCTTCCTTAATCATTATCTGAAAAATATTTTCTAAGCAACATATTTTTGTTTGGAAAAGTGAAATTGTAATGTAGAAAAAATGTTTTCTTAAGGCAGTTTGAGGACATTTAGGTACTTTAAAAAATTATGTCACTCTAAGTTCTTTTCTTAGAAAAACAAATTGTAGAAATCCAAAACACGTTTCATGTGCTTAAGTACAGAATTACTACTCTATTTCCAGCTTTGTTTTTACTGTCTATATGACCTGCTGTTTCAGTGAAGGACTTATGGTTTTTGCACTTTATTTTCCTAAAGATGATACAGCAAATATGACAAATGTTAGATAATGACTGTTATTAACACAAATTTCATCCACAAAGTTTTAGGTTAAATTCTATGGAGTATGAAAAACAATCTTAAACTACATTTTGCTAATACCTCCATAAAAGCGTGAAATTATTTAGCTTCCCTAGGTCTTCTAGAAAACACTTTAAAATGCCACAAAGATGTATACCAAGACATAAAACTGCAAATATTAACTGTCTATTTCCTTGAAGTATAATTTAAACTTGGTGAGTAGGATAAGAAAATGTCACATTCCTTTCCCTTGCTAAGGAAATTGCATATTTCCTTTGCAAAAATAAAGAATATGCAGTCTTCATAAACATGTATGTGACAGTTTTAAAGTTGTTTTGCTTCAGGTTAAAGGTTTCTATAAATTTTCATGATTGTCCCAAAGTTGAAAAAAGAAAAGAAGCAAAGAAGAAAGAACAAAATATTAACCTTAGGTGTACAAGCTTTGTTCTTCATCAATGTTAAAAACATTTCTCATATCCATATCTTGTCCTTTCCAAATATTATCTTGACCTATATAACCTTAAAATTCATCTTAGGATGAATATACTTCCAAATGTTTATATTTCCCTCCATGATCTGCAGTTTTCTAAATAGAAAGTTAAACTTCATTCTTTACCAGGATTTGTGAAGCAAACAGACATGCATTTTATTAAGTGGCAAATAGAGCAGTGACCTGGGCTGTTCACTCCTGAGGAGTACGAATGTTTGGTTTGTGGACTAACGGATACCATAAACCTTGGTTAAGGACATCAAATTTCACTGGGAATTAAGTAATTCTGGAAGCAAAGAATCTTGTTTAAGATATAGATTAATCAGTGCCCCAAAGATACAGATGCAGTGAAAGACCGAGACATCTGCACCCCAAAGTTTATAGCAGCAATGTCCACAATAGCCAAACTGTTGAAGGAGCCTCGGTGCCCATTGAAAGATGAATGGATAAAGAAGATGTGGTCTATGTATACAATGGGATATTACTCAGCCATTAGAAACGACAAACACCCACCACTTGCTTCGACGTGGGTGGAACTGGAGGGTATTATGCTGAGTGAAGTAAGTCAATCGGAGAAGGACAAATATTATATAGTTTCATTCATATGGGGAATATAAAAAATAGTAAAGGGAATAAAGGGGAAAGGAGAGAAAAGAAGTAGGAAATATCAGAAAGAGTGACAGAACATGAGAGACTCCTAACTCTGGGAAATGAACAAGGGGTGGAGGAAAGGGAGGTGGGCGGGTGGTTAGGGTGTCTGGGTGATGGGCACTGAGGGGGGCACTTGATGGGATCAGCACTGGGTGTTATGCTATATGTTGGCAAATGGAACTCCAATAAAAAAATATTCAAAAAAAAGATATGGATTAATCAAATTTCCAGAATTTCACTAAAATGAAATGGAGGGAAAAATTTAATTATAAGATCACCACTATCATAAGGGATTTATGTCTACTTACCATTCAATCCTCATATTGACCCTAATTGGTAGAAACATATTGTCTTCCTTCTACATATGAAGAGACTGGGTCCAGAGAATTCAAGGACTTTGCCAAAAACCATGTGGCCTGTAAGTGGCAGACTCATGCTTTTTGTTAGCTACTCTGCAGGTTTTATGATTGTTAATATCTTATTGGAGAAGAAAAGATGGACAAGATGGGAAAGGTCACTAGGAGGTCTATTTGGTCTGTAAATATTGGGCTCCTTATGATTCCAGAATTTAATTCAGAATGCAGAGATTTAAAATTCTCTTTTGGGGCAGCCCAGGTGGCTCGGAGGTTTAGCGCTGCCTTCAGCCCAGAGCCTCATCCTGGAGACCTGGGATCGAGTCCCACGTCGGGCTCCCTGCATGGAGCCTGCTTCTCCCTCTGCCTGTGTCTCTGCCTCTCTCTCTCTCTCTCTGTGTGTGTGTGTGTGTCCCTCATGAATAAATGGGTAAAATCTTAAAAAAAAATAAAAATAAATAAAACCTAGTTAAAAAAAATAATAAAATTCTCTGTTGAACACAGGCTGATGGGTCATAGGATTTTATAGGGCTAGTCCAAGAACTCTGATGGAGATAAGAAAGTCCCTAGCTCAGCTTCCTGGTTGCTGGCAGACTGGTTTTGTTAGCTGCTCCTATAGCTTTCCTCTTCTCCATAGAGGTTCCAGGTTGAAAAGCCAGTCAGCACTGTCAGGGGAACACATACAGAATAGCCGACTCACCTGTGGGATGCTGCTGCTTTATCCAACCAGTAAGTATGTTGCAGGAATAGATATAACCACACACATAGATGTCTATGTAAGTTATGGGGTTTTCTTATTTTATTTTCCCCCTCATTATTAACAGTACAATTAAAGAGTACTACCAGAGCTTGGCAAGTCTATTTAAATCCTAATTTTTCTTAACAGTAGAAAGAGCTTGCTTCTGGATTCAGATTATGCCAATAGGTTCCTTCTGTAAGAATATTTTTTGTTAGTGAAAGAAATAATACATGTCACTTTGCCTTGACAAGAATAAACTGGAGTGTGTTTTGTCTATCACAATTACTGTTAAACACAAAATTTTTCCTATTCCATGTATATTTGTAAAAAAGATCCAGTTGTATCTCCTACAAAATTTATCAAAATAAAATGGAAAATTTTCTAAGAGTTTCTGACTACTTAATGCATTGTTAAAAATTAGTTTGATCTTTTGCACCATAATTTCCCTGCATTTCAAAAGTATATATAGTGTTTTTACAAGTATACAAACTTTTTACTAACATTATTGACTAGAATAATTTTGTAATTTTAATCTCTTTAAATGATCAAATATGTTCTATAGAACTTACCTTTTGACCATTCACTCCTGGAATTCCAGGTACTCCAACAGAACCCTAAGAAGACACATTAAAGCAGATATAATCACAAAATATTTCAATTCTGAATCTGTAGTAGTAATTATGTCAGCCATAATTTCACCTTGCTAAAACAGGTGTGAGAGGCTGTTTTTCAGATCTTATCCACTGTACTCAAATATATACTAATGTAAGCAGATTCATCCCACATTCCCAGAAACTAGAGAGTTAAATTTAACCATGTTTCTAAATATCCACTTAATTCTAATATGATTTTAAAGAAATTCACACCATCAACTGGGATCCATAGCTATCAGAAGGCCAATGGCTCTAAACTGTGGTGCTTTTAAGAAGTAAATAGGCTTAGTTTCACCTGGAAAAACCTAGCAGTAGCAGTTAACTCTTGAATTTCATGAGTTTAAATACCATGAAACAAAAGGTAATTAAAATAACAACTACTTGTTCCACAATTAGTCAAATAAGGCACCCATGGTGTAAACTCAAGTTTGTTGTATTTGAAGCATTTTCTCCTGGACTTTCAGGGAGTACGTTTAAGCCAGGTGAATGTGAATATGTCTTCCAAAGACTAGAAAAGGTGTTACAAATGTTAAACACTGAATAGGAATAACAACAGTAGTCAAATATTAAGTGTGTATGTATGTGTGTGTGTGTGTGTGTGTGTGTGTGTGTGTGCACATGCGCACTGGGGTGATTATGAATGGTTGGACGTAGTTGGGGTGGACTGAGAGTAAAAAAGCTAATTATCACCTGAGAAAATCTATGACATTTACCTGGATATAGAAACATTAACAAATGTTTTCGAATAGTGATGTCATTTCCCCTTTCAGGCTCTGGAGAAACCATTTTTAAATAAAATGTTTATTCTTTGTCTAGCACTAGAAAACAGACTTTACTAAGTTGATGTATAATATTAAATTTCTTAATAATAATGGGAAAAAGTTTTTTCTTAAGAGTAAATATAAACCTAAAACTGCTCTAAAAGAGAAAGTTTATTAAAAAGGTAGTTATTAAAAAATATGCAGTCATTATATGCAAAACAAATTGAAATGGCAAGTTCCTTAGTGCTTTTGGTAATTATATTAAGTGGGTCATTAAAAGACTTCCTGAAGCCTCGGGCAGTAATTTTACCCTGGTCGCATGTGGATTAGGGTAGATTTACAATTTCACACCATGCTTAATAGAGACATTATTGCAAAGGACAAAGTGTTCTTATACACAAGTTGTCTCACAACTCATTGGCTATTACTTGGTTAGTAGGATTATGTTTCAACAGATGCCACATGCCCAGTGCTTGGGGGATAAAAAGTCTCTATCTTTGATGGATTCCAAAGATAAGGAATAATCACTTTTCCACCTGTTGTAATACAATTGCTTTCTTTAGTTTTCTGCCGGTTAAATATCTCTTTTTCCCCATTGTGAGGTTGGAGTTGTAATAGGGAATGGGAATTTAATGATGTTTTGTTGGCAAAGGGCCATCTACCTACTATTGATATATTTACTACTGTAGTAATGATGTAATTTAGAAGCACTAAGACCCTCTCCATCAGAATGTAATGGTGAATTCTGATGACTGGGAAATGACAATCAGGAAGTCACTCTTCAGATTACCTCAGCAAAGGAAAACACTAGTGAACCAATGGAATACTGCCACCAAACCACAAGTACATCTTTTGTTCTGGTCCGTTCCATAGTCATTTGGTCATAATATTTGACTAGGACCATGCATTCAATCTGCAATGTCATATGTCTTTCAAATTCTAAGTTTTGTCTCAATGTTTTGCCAGTATTTTAATTAAAAATTCAATAACCTACCTTTAGTTTGGCAGACAGCTTAAAAAAAGTTTACTCTGGATTTATTGGATTTTCTATAATGGAGTTGATTAGAAATCTGATGGCTCACATTATATGACTGTATTTTTAGAAAGGAGAATGCACAATCCAGATGCTTCAGCATGCCTTACAGTAGCTAATTCTATTCACCTCTCATGCTAGCCATTATGCAATGCAAGTATAATTACTTCCCCAGTACTGTTTATACTCTACCTTTTGTCCCGGAGGCCCCAGAGGACCCTAAAAAAAAGAAAAACTATTCAATTAACATAATAATGTAACCATTTATACTTAAATGACCAATTAAAACTGTCCTAGTCTGCAAGGTATTCTATGCTGTGCAGAAATATGCTGATGTTTTGTACGTCAAGGAAAATGAAAATTATTGGTAGGAAGTACACAATAGGTCTTTTCTTCTCTCTTGTTTTCTTTTGAAGAACATTAAGCATATGCAGTAAGATTCTGATTTTTCCTTTAAAAAAAAGAATCTTTGCTATTCCGGTGTATCTGCAAATCTATCACCTCAATCTCATTTAGAAAGATGGAGATGCTGCTGCTAGAAGCAGCGAAAATGCAATGCTGTTCCCCACCAAACAGCACGTTATGTGACTTCTGCATCTGCAAAACTTCAGTAAGCAGATTTGCAAAGGGAATCATTGAATAGCATTACAAAGAAACATGCTTTGTTCTATTCTTCCTTGTATGAAACATGACCAATTGGCCAGCACAAAAACTTGTTTACAAACTAGGGGATGCCAAGGTCAACTGTGGCATCTACTGTGTACCAGACAAGGAAACAAAAGATGCGTTAGCTGTTGATAACCTATGGCACTAAGGGCATGAGGGGAATATTTAGGAAGATAGATGGGAATATTTACATATAAAACGGGAATATAGTAGTTCTGAGGTTTAGCCATTTTTCAACCATGAAATCAGCATTGGGATTCTGTTGCCTTTATATAGAATAAAGTACAGCTTGGGAAGGTGGAAAAGAGCACACAAAGACATACAGCTATAATTCTATTTATGTCTATTTTTACATTAAAATATTAAGCACTGGGGTGCCTGGATGGCTCATTCAGTTAAGCATCTGCCTTAGGCTCAGGTCATGATCCTTGGATCCTGGGATCAAGCCTGCATTGGGGCTTCCTGCTCCCCAGGAGTCTGCTTCTCCCTTTGCCCCGCCACCTGCTTATGTCACTCCCCAATTCAAATAAATAAATAAAATATTAAAAAAATATATTAAGCATCTTTCTTCTAATTCTTTCAAAAATATTTTTAATTTTATGATATTTTAACAAAGCCATACTTTATAAGTGGTAGTACTCTATCACTTCACATTAACTAGCTCTGTATTCCATTACACCTAATGAAGGACTAGCCTATATTCAATGGGTGAGAAGGACTAGCCTATATTCAATGGGTGATATTTCAGTTAATCGGTATCTTAATTCATACTTTATAACATTAAAGAAAGCACTAGAGTGCACATTAGAGGGAGAATTAGTCATTAATAATTTTTTTATTAAAAATACACCACGTTTAGGAACATTCAGAGAATCTGTTCCTCATAAATTATTTTGTAATCCTCACAGGAAGACTAAGAATTTCCTCATAAAATCAGCTTTAGGTTATTGAAAGTGCACCATGCAACATCACCTTTATATATTCTTTGTTTATTTACTCTACCAACTAACTTCTTAATGAGCTGGTTATCTGGTATCTCTGTGTGGTCAGACAGCCTCCCTCCCCATTTCGCCCCTTCTATTTAAAATTCTCCGTTTCAGATTTTGCAGAGAAAATAGAGGCTATCAGATGTAAATTCCCTCAGCATCACACTTCTCATCAATCCAAACCCACGTGGACTTTCTTCCTAAGTCAGAGGGAGAAGAGGCACCCCTCCTCTGTGGGCAGATGCATCCAGTAGACTCTGGAATCCATCTTTGCCTCTGTCCTCAGGGATCTTTCTCCATCAATTATCCTTGCATCTGTATCAGAGCCTCCGGTTTCCACTAGCTCCTTTCCCTTAGCACATAAACAGGTTTAATCATCTCTCACTTGGGTCAATTGTTTGGGAAGTAAATGCTAATGCTAAGTAAAGGCAGAATTTGGAAGTTGTAGTAATGGGAGAGCTGAGAGTCAAAGAAGATTTGTGTTTTATCATGGTCTATGATTCCATTTGCCCCAGGATCTCCAGGGCATTTCATTTCTTAAAATGTTGATGTTAGAAAGGAAATCATATAACAAAAAGTACATTAATTCAATGTTTAGACTAAGATTGTATATGTTCAATTCAGAAACGTTTGTTTCCACTTAAGCCTAGCTTTGCCACTTGAAAAAAGACTGTTCAGTACAATTGAATATTTCACTACAGTAATGGATAACCCAGGAGGGGAATATTTCATAGAAAAATCAGAGCAAATTTGAAATCAAGTGCTTTAACTAGAGACTAACATTATTTTGTACTTTCTAATTTGTTGCGTGATCACATTAAAGATTTAGAAAGACTGCCCATAACTGTGAAATCTATAAAATTATATTGCTCAAAAAATTATATTGTCTATTTTAACACAATTATTTCATGAAAATCAAAGGATAGGTATAGAGAAAATAAATATAAAATTTTTCCTCACAGTTAGGAAACTACTATTTTTGCTAAACTCTAAAAATAAAAGCAGTTTTAAAGATGTAACATTAACTTTGAATTGTGATTACGTGTGTGGATTTTTCATAACTATATTGCAAGGATATATTCTCAGCTACCAAAAATGTGCATATAGTTCTTTGATCTCACTGGCAGGAAAAATGGTAGCAAGCCAAGGCTAGTGTCATCTATTACTTAGCAGGGGAGTGGGAATAGATTGAAGTTGGATATAAGGCACAGACATACATTCAAGTAAGTATAGACACCACACACACCCTGAATAGTTACTTTGCTGATCAAGATTTTGCTTATCTGTGTGTTTTGAGTATCCTTAGATTAATAATCCCATTATATAGCTGTGACATTGTGGTCACAAAAGCTTCACTACCCAAAAATTGATTTTGAAGTTGAGAGTATATTGCTACCAGTTGATTAAAATGTTTACATTTGACTAGTTTTGTGGCTTCTAAAACAAATATAAATGAATAAAGTAACGGGAAAATGCCACATAACCAATCACTAACTAATCTAACCATCTTAAATTTATCTATATTTTCAGCCTGCTCAAAAGTCATTATGAATGACTCAGATAAACAAGGTCATGAGTTTACTACTCTCTAGTCAAACTAGTGCTTTTATTATCCTTAAAATTAAAGCCAATTGTTCTAGTGTTTTATGATTTCTAAAATAATTCCATTATTATTTTCCCTAAGTCTCAAGTTTGGATCAATATTTTTCCAAACTAAACAGTCAACTTTTTATTCCATTTTTATTAATCAATAAATTTTCCTTTTTAGATATTTTCTTGGTGGGCACCTTTATGTTTGCATGTACTTTGTAGAGACTCAATTTATATGGGAATAATCTGGCTTTTTTATTTTTCAAAATAATTTCTGTGTATATGTCTCAAGATTAAAAACTATACACTATATGGAATCTCAACATATTAAACTACATTTCTTTTACTCCAGAAGTGTTAAACTATAATTTAAACCTTACACTTATTTCAGTACAGGTTCTAGGTGATGTACTCAAAAGATAAAAATTAAATGAGCCATTGAAAAACTCTGAGTGTGGAGTGATAACATCACTCATCTGCAGACAGATTTTTAAACCAAAGTTTTGGTGATCTTTTGGAAGAGACCATGAAGAGCTATGCAATGTTGTTAAAATTTAAAACAAGAAATTAGCACACTTGATTTTCTTTCCTGTTTACCTTCACCACTGCTAGATTCCATTTTTAAATATTGTAAAATATGTGGACTATGGTGAGCAAGTAAGTCAAAGAAATATGGTAGTCGGGGTTCTTGGGTGGCTCAGCTGGTTAAGCATCTACCTTCTCAGGTCATGATCCCAGGGTCCTGAGATGGAGCTCCACATTGCATAGGCTCCCTGCTCAGTGAGGACCCTGCTGCTCCCCCTCCCTCTGCTGCTCCCCCTACTTGTGCTTGCTCTCTCCTCTCTCTGTCAAATATATACATAAAATCTTTAAAAAAAAAAGAACAAGAAATATGATAGTCCTCATTTGGTGACTGCCTTCACCAAAAAGTGTGTTACTCATGGCCTGAGGGTGATCCTTTATTCTTCTTGCTCCAATTCTATCAGCTAATTACTCAATAATCTCTCCAGCATGCTCTCTTTGTCACCTACATCACTATGCCCTTGTTCAAACTCTCTTCTCTCCCACCTAGCTGATGGGCATCTCCCTGAGGGTGCTGTTTTTAGTCTCCTCCCCCCTCTCTGCACAGTGCTGTCTGAGTGAGCTTTCAAGAAGGTGAATGTGTTCATACCTTTCCTCTACTGAAAAATCCTTCAATGGCTTTCCATAGCTTTTGAGAAAAATGGGAGCTTTTGTAATAGCACACCACATGAGCCACGCTTTCACATTCTGCCCCTCGTACCTTTGGCTGTCATATTCCTGCAACTTCTCTTTGGTCCTCTCTCCTCTACCCATTCCATCACTCAGAGATCAATGTGGGCTTATGTCCCCTTCTTTTAATTCTCTAAAGCACCCCTATGACAGCATTTCTTTCATAGAATTTACCAACAGTACTATAATTGTCTGGTTACTTCTTTCTTCATACTAAATGTCTTTTGTCGTGCACAGTAGCTGGCATATGGTAATTGTTCAGTGAATTCTTTTGTATTCATTCATTAATTCATCCACTTCATAGTTTTCTAGGACCCATTGAGTGTCAGGCAACATTCTTGGTGTTGAGGAAACCGCAATGAACAAAATAAACAAAAATGCATGCCCTCCTAGACTTTATATTCTAATGAATGGAGAAAGTAAACAAATGAGTAAAACAAAAAAGTATGTCAGGTGGTAAGTGCTACAGCAAATGGGAATAAGGATTGGAAGAAGTAGATGGGGTAGTATTTTAAAGTGGGAGTGGTCAGGAGGTCAGTGAAGGCCTCAGTGATAAAGTGGCTCTTGGACAGAGCTCTGAAAGATCAGTCAGAGGCATGCATATAGAAGGGAGAAGAATGTTCCAGGCAAGGGAACAGCAAGTACAAAGGCAAGAGTTGGGTACATGTTAGTGTGTTTAAAAAACATCAAAGAGGCTATAGGTAGGTAGTTGAGGTGGGGATATGG